AGTGTCTGATTGTCTGCTTTTCGGGTCTGACTGTCTGAGTGTCTGATTGTCTGCTTTTCGGGTCTGACTGTCTGAGTGTCTGACTGTCTGCTTTTCGGGTCTGACTGTCTGACTGTCTGCTTTTCATTTCGGGACCCAAACGCACGCTCTCTCAAAAAAACAAACAGGAATAATTCTGACGCACCTGCATGAGAGTTACCGTGTAGGGACCTTAAAGAAGCCCCAATAACCCTGCATTCCTTTGTGGCCTAATTAAATAGGGCTCTTGAGTCCCAACTCCTTTGTGCTCAAAGAGCCCAGGTGAGGAATCATGCTCGCTGCAAGAAAAAGCCAGCGGCTCCAAGCGGCCGGGTTCCATATCCCATGCTGCCTCCTAATTTCTCAAAAGCAAAAAGGCCTTTCAAATCCCAGTCCTGAGGCCCCAAAGGTTTGTCAACAGCTCTACTCCAACTGATGCTGTTTCATCCCAAAGCACGTCGCAAACGCACACAACGAGAATTCACCACTGAGGTGCTGCTACTGGCAACCCGACGCGTTTGCCGTGAGGGCCATGTCTCGTATGAGGTAGGGGGGGGTCCTTTGAGGAGACCATTAGTTAACATCCTGCCATATGTATCCTAAGCATGGAAGCGATACAGATGTGAGAGGATTAGGATTGCTACGGTTGCATTTGCATGTAGGAAGTCTGGTGCTTTTGTGTTGTATGGCCGAGTTCGGGCTTTAGGGGTTAGGATTTCTGATTGAGGTTAAAGTGTTTCTCGGGTTGGTCAAGAAGTGCTGATGTCTAGCTTCTCGTGCTAACTGACCAGGCTTTCATAGCGAATCAAGTGCAACGGCGAAGAAGAATATCATCCGCAATGGCAGTCATACCAAGGGAATTTAGTCTACTCGAGGGAATGTGTCCCTACAGCAGTCCTTATATAATCCCTTACTGGTCCCTACTAGCCACCCTACACCTCCAAATAATGTAGCAGCTTCCACTTTCTTTTCCACTTTCCCATTGTGTACTAAGTACCAAGCAATAAGCGCCAGAGATAGGGGTTTTGGGCTTAGGCTTAGGATGGCTGAGGCTGGAGCTGGAGCCTACGCTCCCCCCAAACTAACATGGAATTCCGGGAGGGGCTCTAGCAAGGCTACAAACGTTTCCAATCCAAGGGACCATACCTGGGGTTCCACATCAGTGTGCGGGAGTGTTGACCTTGTAACAGATTGCAGGTTGGGTTTTTTTCTTCAGAGTCTTCAGATGCGACGGCTGGTCATTCAAAGGGTAGGTTCCTTTCGAATGTAGGCCAAAGGACATGCAGCCCCATGCGAGATCTCGCCCGAGGCTCCCTGCAGAATCTCACGAAGTGTAGACTTGTAGGGTTTACCTAGAGTACACGCAGGGACACCCGGCTTTTGAGGGTACATTGCCTACTCTAGGTCGAATGCAGGGTTCAGAGTTCAGGGGTCTCCCGAGTGAAAGTAATTACTGGTTAATGAAAAATATTAGGAGGGTTCAGATTCCAAAAGAGAAATCAAGTGATGACCTTGTGCTGAATAGGAAATCCGGGATTGGAACCCTATAGTCGTCCCGATATAACCCATGGTAGTCATCCCTCTATGTACCACTTCCTTCATTCCCTACAAGGATCACTACAACTCCAGGCCCATAATCATCAATATTCCCTGAAAATGTTGTGGTACCGACACATGCCGATGGTTATGATTAGAGGGTGTCTTTTCTTCGGGGAGAGGATGTCGAGTTAGGGCACATGATGCTCACTTTAACCCCATTTGGATTTAGCGGCTTTGAGGCAGGGTTTAGGGCCGTGTAATGCATTGGCAAGGCGTTACAGGGACAACACGCAGGCAAATGTTGGGAGGGAATGGCCAGCCTGCTGAAAGCCTCAGGTTCAATCCCTTTTCGCTCTAGTCCAACCTCTATAAAGGGGTTGTAGAGGGGATTATAGGGGGACTCCAGCTCATATGTTGACGGACTACCGTCATGTAGTATGGTGGTGAGGGTGGTGTTTCATGATATTGGGAAGGTGTTTATGCGATGCTCCCATTTGTAGGCTTCAATGTGGGGTTCAGCTTCGCAGAAAGTCACCCCAGTCAAAGCCAGGATCAGGATTTTTAGGGCATACTTCGCTCTGTAAGGCTCCAGCCACATCCCAAATTGCCACAGACCCGGAGAATCCCCATGACTCTAGACCACGACGTGGAGTCGCTCTCATCCAGACTTGGGCGGGGAGCCCACAATCCGAGATTTGTACTGGACCAAACGCCGTTTATTAAAATCTCTTGCCATTAGGTGCGTGGGGTCTTTGCATCGTAGCTCGCAGATGATGCAAGCTTCCTGGTTTACAGCCATGGTCGCAACGCTGCCCGTAAGCTTGCAAACAATCGCGTTAACAGCCCTGCCAACCCCCTGCACTTCAAACTGCGCCAGAAGCCTTGAATATCCAAGCCTGGGATCCAGCGCCGTGAACAACTAAACCTAAACCCAAAGCCGTCAACTGTGACTTGGGAACGGGGGAATCGGTTGTATGGACCACTATTGAATGATTGAAGAGAAGAAAGTCACGACTCCAAGGATCCCTGTCCTCCTTCCATACTAAGCATCCGGCTGACAACAGCTTTGCAACCAAAAACTTCAACTTCTGGGCAACCCGACAAATCCCCAAAGGTTAAAACGTTCCAATGCAGACCCTTAAGCAATCTGGCTGCTCAGCTTTTAACCCTATGAACAACCCCTACGAGTTTAACCAACCTGAAGCTCGAACCTTGAGGCCCAAGGGCGGTGGTTGTCAAAGGGCCCAGGGGGGTCTATCGAAGATTCCATAGGGGGTAAATTTGAGAAACCCCCGCATCACATTGTGCCCCCATGCACATCACTTCTCAATGGGAAGCTTCTATAGTGTATTTTTCCGCGCTTGGCGCAAACCATAGAACATTCTGTCGGGTTGAGCGTTTAGGCGATAAGGTTTGGGGTTTAGGGTAGAAGTCCGGATTTGAATAAAGCATGTCCGGCTTATGGCAGGTACTCGACGGAGGCTTAGTACAATATACGCTTCATTACAACGCCCTCAACCGACCTCACCCAAACAGTCTGATTCATGGGGGCGATGGTCCCTAAACGGCCTTTTGCGGGCCTTAAGTGCAGCTAAGGTAGGTCTGGGATACCCGCTAAACATTTAGGATCCATCAGCCTTAAACCCTGAACCCTTATTCAGCCCTAGACCTAAACCTAGCAAAGACCCAGCGTGCACAGAAGTGCCCTACGTATGGCACTAATACGATGCGCTGTTCAGATTCCGAGTCCTGCTAGACTTCTGGTTCTACAGCCGTCAGCTACCCTTTTAGCCTCAAAAGTAGGGTTACGGGAAGTCCCATTCAAAGAGCAAAGGCAATTTTCCGAGTGAAGGTAACTGTTTTGCTTAGCATTTTCAGCCCTGATGATGACTTGTCCTGCTGCTTGTGAGTAGCCAGTGGATCTTGACACCTCAGCGTTTCAAGGATCATGTCATGGATTTAGCAAAACATGCATGAGGCACGCTTGTTGGCGGAGAGAGATGTGGAGACTTTTATGTACGTCATGTACTCATTGTATGGGCGCCTTCACCTTTAACATCCATGATCCCTGCATATGATCATCCCATATCTCCGTAGGGTCCCATGGAACGCCCTTTTTGAGAAGCTCCCATTTGTGCAAAGCTTCTTTGATGAGTTCTGCGTTATGCAGCCCAAAGTGGACATATCTCGAACAGCGCTCGAATCCTGCAGATGAATTCCTATACCAGTTTTGAGCTTTGCCCTGTGGGAACCGGCCGCGGACCTTGTGGAAAGCAAGTAAATGCTGGCAATGTGTGGGTTCACTGTCTGAACCATGAAGTCATGGAAGTATGTGTAGTAGAGGGAATGGTGAGACGGCCTGGGTTGCGAGGGTATATCGTCTTATTGGGGCTTCCAACGCCTTTGTGTTTTGGAATGATCCTCAAGTCTTCCACACCAGCCTTGCGTACCTCATTACTCTTCATGTTTTCCTGGTTGCTGCCCTGGATCGGGAAAGCTGAGACTTGTGCTTCATGAGAGAAAATTAGGTATAGCTCTTAGGCTCAAATTTGATCTTGAAGCGCATACATTCATGCATGTAGACCTTCTGAGACTGTCATTCGCTTGCAGAAGCATTTCTTAGACCCTGGCAGAGCCGAACAGGTATTGCATTCTCTGGCAACTTGTAGAAGCACATTGTGGCTAGGAGATGGTTGATATCAGCAGTTTTGAAAATCAGTGTAGTGTTGCCCTTCTTAGCCCCAAACTAGCACAATCTCTGAACTCACGTGGTTCCATCACCTCAATCCACTGGGTTGAAAAACCTCCATCCTGCTCACAAACTCGTATACCGTAAGCACCACTTTCCCCTTTGTAACAGGCGGTCGCATGGAACACTTCCCCACTTAACGTTTATTCCATCTATGAAGTGGCTGCACCTCTCACCTCATGGAATCATTTTTGTCTAATTCGGCTTTGACGGAAAGACCTTTCGTGGGTAATGACGGTAATGGATAAGTGGGTCAGAGGTCTTTGCTCGTGCTCGGCTTCCTACTGCGAGCGTTTACAAGGCTTCAGCAGTGGAGCCCGAAATACATGGCTTTTACCCTCCCTCACACGTAACATGGGGCTCCATCGTTAATGAGTTCGAGGAAGCCTTGAGGAAGCATGGGAGTCACGGGCTGTGTAGAGCCAAAGTGCTGAAAGCGTGGTTCTTGGGCTTCTGGTTATTCTGCTGGTCTAGAATCTTGGCGCGCACGGCAACGACCCCGAAGCTCGAAATGTGGGTATGTATCCCGCGTTCAAGCACATACAGTGGAGAATCCAAAAAACTCTACATCTCTAAATTTCCAGGGATTGTTGCCGCGTAATATGCTTCAGGTCATGCAGGGTCTTGACCATTGACAGTGCAACGGTACAAGGGAGTGCTACTGATGATTCAGAACGGGTAGGAGGGTATAAGGAGGAAGTGGTACTGGCCGCAAGAACATCAGGACTAGCTGTAGCAGCATTGAAAGACCTGTTGGCCTGTACATTGCCAGCTGAACCATCCCACTGTGGCTAGAGAAGACCTAGTTATCAAGTCACCTCCCTCAACAGCAAAGCCAGCTTTCACAATGAGGGTTTACGTAGAGCACGCTGTTTACTTAGAAAACCTGGGTAGAAGGGGGAGGGCAGAGCTTTTAGCGCCTGCCAATTTTAGTGGGGCAGAATGGCGCGTACAGCTCAGAGCAAACACGGTGTGATTACCCAAATCACACTGTTGCCCTGGAGCCATCCGGGAGTTTGAATTTTGACTCCTTCCAACTAACAGGATCTTGAGTTTAGGGTCTAGGATCAAGTAATTCCCAAGAATCCAACATTTGTAGAGGGCCTACTGGGGTCTGTTCACAAGCGGATGGAGTCTAAGGTTTCAACTCCTCATGTCTCGGTCTGACAGAACAGATTTGAGATGCCTTACCAATCTTGCGCTCTTGATTCTTGCCGCTTGCAAGCCCAGCACCCCGAA